GTGATGGTGGTGGCAAGTACATCGTGGATCTAGCTCCCGTTCTGGGTGTGGTTAGTGTGTGGGTCCGTTGTTGAGGGAGGGAGATCACAAGGTTCACGTCCCATACTTCACCAGTTAATGATTCACTTCACTAATAACCTTATATATATTTTCTCCTCTCGTGCTTCATTCATCATTACTTTTTGCCTCGATATATGTGTCACTAGAAGAAATAGATAACTAATTATACAGTTCTACCTAACCTAACCTAACCAATGGGGAGATGAGGAGAAAAAATAATCTCTGTTAGAAGAATTATCCTCGAGGTTAATCGTCCGGATAAGAGAAGTTTGTTTTTTGTCTGTCTGTCTGTCAGTCAGTCCTAACAGCTCCGGTCTGACCTCGAAAGGTGTCTACCCACTCAGCCAATCAGACGCAGTGACAGTGGACGCGACATCATTAGAAAACGGTGATCAAATTCGCCCTCGTTGTACCTCAAGAATCTTCACCCGACGTATGGATAAAAGCCAGGCATTATGTACAGTGAAACCTATATTTAACGGACAATCTAGAGGAAAGTCCGTTATATGAAGGGTCCGTTAAATATGAAACCACCATCTAATGAACTGTTTAGAGATGTATGTCCTTTATATCGAGGGTCCGTTAAATGTCAAACCTCCAGCTAATGAAATGTATAGAGATGAAAGAGCTTTATATCGACGAAACTCTCATCTAACGGAGTATAAGGCGGGAAAGAGAGTCAAAAGAAACAGTGAATTAATCCGCGCAGAGATGTTAAATTTATCAAATTCTGGACGAGGGATTAAACAAGCCCCCCCTCCCCACACACACACACGCCCCGACGGCACTTCACACTCCTCGACGGCCCCTCACACTCCCGACGACACTTCACACGTCCCAACGGCCCCCCTCACTCCCGACGGCCCTCACACCCCTGGCCCCTCCACACCCCCGACGACCCCTCACACGTCCCAACGGCCCCCCTCACACCCCCCGACGACCCCTCACACATCCAACGGCCCCCTCCTTACCACTCGACGGTCCCTCCCTGACAACCCCCCCACACACCTGCGCCGGCCCTCACACCTGTGCCGGCCCCTCAAACCCCCAATGGCCCCCTCACATCCCCCGACGGCCCCTCATACACCTCCAGACCAGTGGTGACAGGTGTGATCCTTGGTAACATCTCGTCCTAGGTGAAAGTCACGACAAAAAACGCAACATTTGGTTAAATATCACCAAATCCTGTAGGGCCGCCTCGGAGGGCCGCCACTAGTCTCGTAATAGTTGCTGGAGGCCATAACGTATACACTATTCCAGCTTAGCGTTCATATGTACGTATCTCTAACTGCTCTTACTCTTTCTTTAGCAGCAAGCAAAATCACCGTAATAATAATAATCATAATAATAATAATAATAATATTAAATAGGTTTTACCGTGTAATAGTAAACCCTTATTTAACGGCCTATAGGGAGAGGAAAGTCCGTTATATCAAGAGAGAGAGAGAGAGAGAGAGGACTCCTTAACACCCCATCTGACTGTCACAACAAAACACCATTTAAGATGAACAATGCAATCAAGTGTTCGTTGAGGCGTTGTTCCATTAATTCACACACCACCACTAAGGTAACACTCCCTTGTACGACATGTGAGAGTAAGGCTTCATTCACTCGTAGTCAATGACAACCCCTAACTTTTGACAATACAATTAACTATAGTGAAACTTCCATATAACGCACTTCTCTCTATATATAATCCGTTTCACATCTAATGGGCCCTTGATATAACGGAATTTAATCTCCATATAATTCGTTAGATAGAGGTTTCACATCTAACGGGCCCTCAACATAACAGACTTTATATAGTCCGTTAGATGGGGATTTCACATCTAATGGACCCTCGCTATAACGGAATTTCCTCTCCACATAGTCCGTTAAATAGAGGTCCGACCGTATTAGAAAAGATTAATTCATGCTTTAGCGATTCGATTTTGTTTTCTAAATTATCATAAAAATCTAATAACGCGAATAAAGAAAAAAACAATAATTCCTTGAGGAGAATTTAACTTGTAAAATAACTCAACAAATTACTGTACATTGGCTCAACAAAACTGTTACAATACATTAAAAAACATTGAAAAATAATTAGCACATTGTGAGGTATCTGTCCATTATTAATTTCAAGAGCACTGGTAACACGCTTGGGAGAGGCGCTGTGGGTGCCTCGGTGTTACTGGTAGAACAATACTCGACAGTTGGGAGGATTTTTTTTAGTTACTGACAGACACTTTCACTGGCTCTGATCTTTATATATACTAGTTAGTGTATAAGAAATTCTCAAATTGTTCTTCTTGTGGGAGGGGGAAAAGGAGAAGGGGGAGGAGGATGGGGAGGAGGAGAAGGGAGAGAGGAGAGAAGGAAGAAAGGAGAGAAAGACGAGGAAGACCAGTGTATACAAACTATTTCTGCATATGCCTCTATATCCAAGACAATTTACAGATAAAACACATAGAAAAAGACACCTGATCAACAACCTGTCCAAAACACAACAAAAATACTGCAAGTCTCTCAAAAAACTCTCTCTACTTGGGATGATCGATGAATTTCAGAATGACCACTGCGACTCCTGTTGTCTCGATAGCGTTGTCAAAATCCTTCGTCCGTTGTCACATTTGTTCAACACAATTTGGCGTAGATAGTTTATAAGTGACTACGTAATCTTCCCGACAAAAGAATGAATGTGTGAGTTTTAATACTTCAGTGATAACAAGAAGCCCTATATCGATACACTATCACGATAATGCCTCAAAGAAGCTCAAAGATGTCATATATTGTTATCTTGCAAGTGTTGAGGTAATGCCACGTAACACTATGTGGGATTTTTCCCGTGATAAAACTACAGGTGTTATCAGGTCCATAACTTACTGATACAGGAACAGTTGCGTGTCTGTATGTGGTGTGAAAGTCAAGGGATATGATAAACAGGAAGTAAAAATTATATAAAATTCAAATGACTAATATCACGAACTTTTAGACTACACTATATTATTTACTAGACTTTGAAATTCACACAAATAAGGTAATAATAATAATAATAATAATAATAATAATAATAATAATAAAATAGGAAGAAAAATCCGGAAACTTTAAACCAACGGAAAACAAAACGTAGATAATTTTGGGGTGATCAACAAATAAGAAGAAAAACAAAAATAAAATAATTGAGAAACAGCAAAATATGTAAAGAATAAACTTATAAAAGCTACTGTACTGTATTCATTATCTAGGTAACCAAGACAAGTGGTGATAACAAAGGGGTGAACTAAGATTTAAGGAGCGATTTCTTACCCAAACATCTAAATCCATGGATAAGGAAGTCATTACCCTCACTGCTTCCGTCAGCCACCGAGCGTGATAGAGGAGTGTCGCCGAGTTATGCGTCCCTATAATTTATAACATCAGCGATAAGGTCACATTATGTTGACATACGTGCCATGTGTCTCAGGCAACAGTGAAAAGTATAATTAACGGACTATATAGAGAAGAAAGTCCGTTATATGGAGGTTTCACTCAGTTAAACCTCCATATAATGTTGGATGGGGGGGGGTTTCACATTTAATGAATCCTCGATATAATGGACTTTCATCTCTATATAGTCTCGTTAGATGGAGGTTTCACATCTAAAGGACCCTCGATATAACGGAATTTCCTCTCCTTATAGTCCGTTAAATAGAGGTTTGACTGTATGTCTGAGAAAATGATCCATCACAGCCTGGGGTTACCTAATAGCAGGTCTTCACAACAACCGAGTAATATTAGATCTACCCGTTATAGTCTAATTACAGTACACGTAACTCATAAATAGTTATTAATGGCAACGTCCGGTGAGGCGGGGCGGGGCGGGGCGGGGCGGTCGAATAATTGGACAACCCCGCCCCGCCTGTGATTGAAGCCATAGATAAATATTTGATATACGTTGTCTTGTATACACTTGAGGTTAACAATAGTGTCGGTAGGTATTTCTTAAACTACTGATAAAAAGATTAATGTATTCCTTTAGATCAATGATATTTCCGGTTCATAAG